CGCTGAAGCTTCAAATACAATGCAATATAAAAACACAAATGTGCCAAAACACATGAAGAAACATCTTCAGCAACTTGACACATAGTGGATCATCGCCGGAGCTGTATTAGCTTAACATTAACATGCTTATTGTAGTGGTAAATGCACTGCCTTGCGGCCTGTAGCACCATCTTCCATGGAGCATGTGTGTGGGCTGGACCTGTATTTTACAGGAAAGGAGTGAGCAGAGGGTGGAGTTGTCGATTCTTGTTCAGTTTTCTGTGACAATCTTCCTCACCCTCTCAGACTTTGAGTTGCTCGCGCTGCTAAAGAGACGTGCAACCATGGAAACCACACAATGGTGTAGCTGTATTAAAGTCCGAGTGGAAGCAGTCCTGAGTAAATCTGATTTTGTCAGAAATCGGGAGAAATGCGTGAGATGCGGACACTAAAAAGTGTAGATATTATAAAGATATATAACAGTATAAAGACATTTTGTCAGTATATCTGAAAGGACAAGGTTAGCTAGCTAGCTTACAGCAGATCTGCAATAATACCTGAAGGAATCATGCGATCACGTTGTTAAAATAAACCCATACAACTTAAATGTTTTGTTTCCACTGACAGTTTAACATATTGAAAAGTTTTGCTCAAGAACTGCGTTTGGGTCTGATACTGTCCCACAAACAAAGGATGCGTAGAATATCCCTTGAAAAGTCAAATTAAATATAGTGATTGAATGGAATCTGTGGAAATACCAATACACCATCAACTTTCTCATTCATTCTTTAAGCTGCAAAATAACAGCAGCCTTATATGTTTGACTTCTTATTCACACATTGATGGCAGCGAGCAGGGACGCGGGAAGTCAGTCAGAGTTGGGGTGCTGCAGCCCCCTCAACACCCCCCCTTCCCGCGTCCATGTCAGCGAGCAGGGACGCGGGAACAAATCCTAAAACCCTGAAATGACTCAGCATTTCTGCACTTCCTGTTCCTTTGTCTTCAAGTCAAATGTGTATTTGCTTTGACCCCTGAAATAATGATCCAAGTCCAGACAAGAATCTCCGTTTGTGCATTTATTTCCATGATCCAATATCATTGACAAAAGTACAATGGACAGCTTTCCTATCGATTCCTTTCCTTCAGCCCTTTTTTATGGCTTCCCTTGTGGCTTGTATCACCCAAGCCCCCAGGAAGTGCGCCAGACTCTGTGCCCAATATTCGTTGTGTCCAAATGGCAGTACTACAACTTCCGTATCAGTCCGTGACGTCACCCGGCCCAGAAAGACTTTTCCCCATTGACTAACATGGGGAAAGAGACATCTGTAAATCAGACAATCATTTTTTTAACTAAATAAATTACCCAGTATGAACTATTTTATAGCCCTTATTAAAAACTTTTAGTACTTACATTTGTAAAATGCACTAAAAGCCGAATCTAGATTTTCTATTTTCTCTCTCCATTCATTCTAGTGACGTTTCGCTCTCTCAAAAGTTGGGCCATTTTGCCTTCATGCGCCAATGAGCAGCTCTCATAGGAAAGAACGAGACCCCGCCTCCCACGCTGTATCCAGTTCTTACTATACCTCCATGGTGTCACCCTGGTAAAAAACACATGCCTACTAGTGCTCTACTCCCACCTCCACCTGTCTCCCATATATACAATCACACCAGGTGCTCTGATCACCCAATGCCCAAACATGCCTTCAAAATGAAAGCATAAAAACTACTTTAACTCACTTCCATAACGACACTAAGTAATAATACCTTCACTATACACAAAAACAGCAAGAAAATAAATGTTTAACTATTAAATAATTTAAAGCTCCAAGAGTGTCTTTAAACAGGCGGTTCTAACGAGTGGCTAAATTCATAATAACGTCGTCACGCTGATCACGGAGAAACTCATCTCCTCATTGGCTGTGATGTTAAATCATGTGACTGTGATGTAGTTCTTTTATAGCCTGATGCTAGCTAGAACAGGTATTGGATGTACGCTACTCAAAAAGAATGTATAAATACCATAGGGTAATCGCTTTTTGACATTTGAATAAGGAAATGTTGCAAATGATATATTTTAAATAAATAAACCCACCGCTGGGAAAGCTGAGGAATATAAATATCTCTGTTACATCACATTGAACTTTTGTCTAACTTATTAGTCGTGTTTTAAGAGATCTCTGTTTAAAGTGATTGTTGGTTATATAACTAGAGTATTTTCCCTGTTTATCTTCCAGGTCCATGAGGGGATATTGTTAACCATCAGGCAGTGCATTCAGCCCCGTAATCCTGCCTTTGTTCGTTTCCTGCCATTTCTGTCCCTCAAGTCTTTGGAAACAGTCAGAAGAACGGCTACGGAGAAGAGGAAGAACAGTTTTAAATGATGACATTTCTGCGTGAATCACCCCGACTGCATTAATGGCGGGAGGTGGATGGATGGAGAGGAGGCGGATGGGGAGGAGGTGGATGGGGAGGTGGTGGATGGGGGTAGGGAGGGTGGATGGGGAGGAGGCGGATAGGG